CATTAAGGACACTATTTAAACTCATGTATTACATCAAAAGCTAGCAATCTATCATTGTATGACATGTTTTCTGCACTATGGCGGTGGCTAAGATAACAAAAACTTGAAGAACTGAAAATTGCAGACAAAATTTGAACAGCGTGATAACTGTGGTTTTACCTGTATTTGGTCTAGGCACGAGGATATCGACTCCTTAAACGCCAACAATTTCCTCGTGACGGGTTCCTCTGTGAAACGTTTGTCTATTAGGACCCCGACATCATTTTTATGTAAGTGATCGAACTAGTTAGTGCGTTTTATGTTCAGAAGTACGCCGAAATTCGGCTTACAATTTCAACATTATCGTCATTTACTGCACTCCCACAGTGTGGTTCACATTTCTTTGCGAGTGATTAAAAAAGGCGATATGCGGACGGATTTCAGGGTGCTGAAGAGTGATTGCTCGAGCATTTTCTCGCGAGCTGCAACGACTTCTGGGACCTTTCTTGAGTTTAAATTTTGCAAAATTATTTTTGATGATACTTTCAGTCACTGAGAGACCCGGACAATATTATGAAGAAAGTCGGCCAAGTGAGAAGTTAGCATACGGTTACTCGCTTTAAAAGTCTCACGCAGCTCGCCCAAACTTTACTTAGTTAGTTTAGTTATTTGGACAGTAAGTTGGTTACTTTAGCTTAGTCTACCCTAGTTTATTTTGGTTAGCTAATAAGTGTATTTAGTTAGTTAGTTGTTGGTCAGTTAGTTTAGATAGTTAGTTAGTGATTTAGTATAGTAAGTTATTTACTTAGTCAATGGGTCAGTCCATTTAGTTAATTAGTTATTTTACCTAGTTAATTAGTTGTTAGCAGCTAGTGTAGTTAGTTAGTTGGTCTAGTCTGTTACTTAGTTAGTTGTTAGTCAATTAGTTAGTTAGTTAGATGGTTAGTTAATTAATTTAGCTAGTTCATTGTTAGCCAGTTAGTTCAGTTAGTCTGGTTAGTTAGTTAATTAGCAGGTGAGTACGGTTGGGATACAGTCGCTCGTTTTGAAAGTCCCACATAGCTCGCCAAAACTTTATTTTTTTAATGGCCTTCAGATTCCAGTGGTCCGTCTAGAAACGTCCTCCGGTTAGATATAGCGGTAAGGAATTGCTTATCATCATAACCTACATAACTGGTGAATTGTACGGCAAACGGTCGATATTAGCAATAGTAAAATGGAAATGTCATTATGTATATATGTATATAAGAAAGGTGAAGTTCTTTGGGAAACGGCAAAATTTTATTGTGAATTTTCGAGACAGGTTCCCCAGCTCGTCTTCAGACAACGGGCGTGCAGAAACAATTAACTTCTAGACTGAGTCTGGCAAAAGGATTCCATGATTGGTTAAGGTCGTCATCTCGGGATTGGTTGACTCAGTTTGAATCTGTCCTTAAGGATTTTGTATGTGGCATCTAAATCGATATGCCGGTTGATGCATGCCTCATCTGAGTACATTGCCTCCAGGAATTCGCGGCCTTTCCTTGTTTGGCAGGCGCCAACAATGCGAGTGTTTTCCCATGCGAATTTATGCCCAGTGTCCAGTGTGTGCATGGCCACCTGGGATAGATGGTCGCGTCTCTTCACCGCTAACTGATGCTCATGTAGACGGGTTGAGACAGATTTCCCAGTTTGGCCACAATAAACGGCATCACAACTAGAACATGGGATTTTATAGACAACACCTTTTCTTTCCAGATAGCCAACCCTGTCCTTAGGGTGTACAAGCTGTGTGCGTAAGGTAGTTGTCGGCTGTTGTGCCACGTGTATCTGGTACTTTTTCAATTGTCTTTCGACTAATTCAGATACATTCTTGACGTATGGGAGAGTTCGCCATGTGGTTAGTTTTGGCGCCTGAGCGTCCGCAGCATTGGAAATACCTTTTTCCTTGAGATGACGACCTTAACCAATCATGGAATCCTTTTGCCAGACTCAGTCTAGAAGTTAATTGTTTCTGCACGCCCGTTGTCTGAGGACGAGCTGGGGAACCAGTCTCGAAAATTCACAATAAAATTTTGCCGTTTCCCAAAGAACTTCACCTTTCTTATTACATTTCTTGGGATGCCTGTTTTTTAATATATGTATATGTATATATATTGAAGGGTTACAGGCAGACCCCTTCAATATATATATATATATATATGATAGTGGGCGCTCACCGATCAGGTTACGGAACATGCTCGTTCCGTTGTGCCTTGGGGCTCATACTTAAACCCTCGCAGGCAGTCGCACAGCGACTAGTGATATATGTTGGAAAGGTAATACCGACAAAGACAAGACATATATATATATATATGTATATATATACATATATTATTGAAAAGCAATTTTCTATCGCATTTTTACTCTGATTGCCACCTTCCTATGCATTTCTAGCATGCCTTGCTTTGCCGCTCAGTTGTTTTAACTAAGCAACGCCGTTTTGCCTGTTTACGTTTTGGTTTTTAGGTTGCGCGCTCTATTAGATTTCATGCGCAGGTGCTTTAGTTAACGCATTCCCTTTTCATTCCGCGTACTCATTCTTGTCCCTTGGTCTGCAGTCTATGTAGTGCAGGGGCAATTATATCTCTCCCACCACCTGCACTGTAATTCTAAATAAATAAATAGGGAAAATTGTCCCCTTTAGCACCCTTTAGGCTTATTTCATGGAACGTAATGATAAATTTTCTAGTAAATCCTAGAACGAGTAGGCAAACACTACTGTTTTGATTTCGTGCTTGTGCAACATGTAGTTTAATATGAAAAGTGGGTAGCAAACAGTGAGAAAAGCCTTCATTTTTCATAAAAGGCTAAATATATGTGACTCGGTCAGTTTTTAAAAGAGAAAATTGTCGCCGATGAGAGGGAAAGGTTCCGTTAGGATGGAACCGTTCTATAGTTGTGAATATAAAAGGGTTTGAAATCTTCACCTCATGGTAAGATTCCTATATCGGATGAGGCTATTTGTCGAAGATGCGACCATGGTATTTTTGCGATGGCAGCAAAATAAACCACCAGAGCGGCGAGGTTTGAGGAACCCAATGCGATCGGTTACAGCTCGGATTAAAGTAGATAAGTACCATTGCCTGCTGCTACTTACAAAGAGAAGTGATTAGATTAAGAAATGCCAAGTGGCAAGTTTCGCCGGATCGTTCAGGTAAAAATCCATGCTGACTGGAGCTCAGAAGCCGATTAGCTAGACAGAAGTCAAGAATTTCATTGAAAATAATCCCTTCAAGAAGTTTTGCTAGAGACAGCGTTTTGTGCACGCCCCGATAGTTATTAACATCGGACCGAGATCCTGACTTAAAGACGGGAATGATAATTGACGTTTTCCATGATTCAGGAGAAAATCCTTTTGAAATATAAACCGAGAATAAATGACTAAGCAATATGGGAAGGTCGGACGCTTGTTTAATGATCGAATTCGGAATCCCGTCCGTTCCAGAGCAGTGTGAGTATTTCAAACGGCTTATGTGTTTCTTAATGAGATCTGAGGAGACATCAGTTGTACTCAGTGTCCTATCTGAAAGTGATCGAAAGAAAGGGACCGGATCGGACTCGGTAGCAAGGTGTTTTGCAAAGAAAGAACTAAACAACTCCGCCTTGTCAGTGTCATCGGTGAGGAAGACTTTGTTATCATTTAGCATGGGTGGAAGTTCGTGACCACGCTTAGAGGAGGACCGATGACGGAAGATGTTAGCGACGGATTTGCCAGGGTTCGAACCACTGAGAGCAATTGATTCTCTTTGCCTGTCGCGCGCTTGGCGCATCCTTGAGGCCATCTCAAAAATCTCTGTGATTCTAAGATGAACTGATAAGGAACTAGTGGATAGGTCACGCAGTTGTCGCCTCAACTTTTTAGTCTGTTCTGAAGAAAATGAGGAACAAGAGAATCTGAAGAATTAGGCTTGAGATATCTACGCGGCACAAACTCTAGAATGTCCTTGGAAACATTGGACATGACATCACGAATATTGGTTACATGGCTACAAATAAGGAAGCCACACCAATCCAAGGATCTCATATAGTTATTTATTAAGTCGCTGTCTACGCAGTCGTAGTTCATGAAAGTCTGAACGGCGCTTGTCTTTTTTGAAAAGGCAAGCGGTAGGCAACAATGAATTAATATGTACGTGGTCACTGTCAAAGAGGTCCTTTTTTAAAGCAACAGAAAGAGGAGCAATGTCATTGGTAAAGATTAGATCTAAAATGTGATTATCTCTTGTTGGAGAGCGCACCAGTTGGGACCAATTAGAAAAATTGACAATATCTTGAAAGGGCTGGAATCTGGGTGGGCAGCTATTGGAAATCCAGTCTATTTCAGGAAGGTTAAAATCCCCAGTGATTATTTTGACATCGAAAGCAGCTTCCGAAATTAATTTAAAGATTTCACAGAGTTGTGAATCATCACTGGCTAAAGAATTTGGGGGATTGTAGATACAGCCGATAATTGCCTTTCTTTGCGGCGAGAGAATAACAGATGCAAAGCAGAAGTTTCCCGTGAATGAGGAAACATCCAAGTAATAGGGAGAGTGCTTTAGGTAGGATTTAAGATAAAGAAGACAACCACCCCCACGCCTAGTCCTGCGGTCTTGGCGGTAAAAATCGAAGTCATCTGTGAGAAGGGCAGAGTCAGGAATTAGAGAATGGGTCCAAGATTCTGTTACACATATAATATCAGGCATCATTTCGAGAGCAATGGCTCTGATTTGGGCCATCTTGTTTATAACCGACCTGGCATTCAATAATATAATATCTAATGTGTTTCGAAAGGCAATGCTTTTTTGGACGGTATTTTTAAAAAAAAATGAGAGGCGGATATTTAAGCTGTGAATTAATGACACTTGGAGAATAAGTACCAGTTAGTCTAGAGTTATTGACGTACGGGGAGTCAGCAAGAGGAGGCTGAGTATGAGACCTAAAGGATGTGGGGATATAGTTTTCAAACATTGGAATGCTAGGGGAGTTAGAACATGGATAGACTTGTTGGTAATTAAATAATGGAGGAAGAGGAGGAGGAGGAGGGAGGTTGGAAGGAAAGTAGGGGCTAATGGGTGAGGGTAGGCCACTAAAAGAATGAAATAGTGGGAAACCAGGTCTAGGTTGGAAGTCAAAGGAGATAGGTTGACTTACCTGAGAGCAATTGGCCTTAAGTGGTGGGAAGCCTGAACTAGGTTGGGGCATAAATGATTTAGGGCAGTGCATGTATGAATTATTTGCTGGATATATAGTAGGGCTTTGATAAGTAATCGGTACGCAGGACAGAGAATTATTCGGGGATATAATTGGAGCTGCGGGGTTTGTAGACGTGCTGGGCTGAACAGACTTGTTAGATCTAAGAGAAGGCGTCGTACCCATAAATGGAACTGTACTACCTATCTTTTGGGTTAGAGTCTGATTCAATTTTCGAGTCTCACCGTTCTGACGCCAAGCCACTGGTGACTTAGCTGTAGACCTTACAGCACCCAGTTGGACAATAGAAGTTATCGGTCTAGCTGATGTAGACGGATTTTCATGTGTCTCCGCGGGACTATCCGGAGGATACGAAACGACAAATGGGGCTGCTGCTGCTGCTGCTGCTGCTGCAAGTTTAGGGGCAGGCAAATGCGTCAAGTGGTTCGAGTTAGATGGAGATGTCGGAGAGAGAGGAAGGAGGGAGTCAGATGTCGCAGGAGTAGGACAAGCTGAATCCTTACAGCCACTTGTATTATGATCGAGTTGGGGAGCATTGGACTGAGAAGTCGTGGGTTAATGTGAGAATAGAGACCCGATTCTACGCTCCATAGGAGTAAGATCATGACAAAGGAAAAATTTTGCCTTTTCTAGGTACGCAGTGACACGCTCTCGATGGGTAAAGATTGTGTCAACCTCGATTGATGAAAATAATTTGACCAAGATGGGTAGATTTTTGCTACGGGAGGACAAGCGTTTGGCATCGGCTATTTTGTAGTTGAAACCACATGAATACAGGAAATTGGTCGCAACATCAATTGGCCGAGCAGATCGAGGAACATTTTTAGCAGAAAGTTGTAAGAACGCTTCTGTCGATCACTAGATTCACTGGCGATCAGGTGAACAAGTGAGTCGAGACGCCTACATTCTTCAGAGGGAATATCGGAGATGTCCCCGTCGAATAAATATCCAAGAATTGTCAGCAAAGAGCCCAACTTTAGCATAAAGTCATTGCAGTGGTCAAGTGCAGACAGATTAAGCTGCCGACCAATTACAACGGGTGACGACTGACTTGTGATATCATCTGACTTAGATTTAGGTAAAGCTTCTGACTTACGTTTACTTAGGCCATGCTTACTTATAGAAGCCGAGAGCTAACGTCGACCAATGACTTTTGGTCTCATCTTGTCTCGTGGGAATTTGTGATTAAGAAAACTTCTGGCAGACAAGTTGACTGAATTTCAGCTAAGGGCTAACGATGTAAAAATAAATTACAACAGTTAGAGAGAAATCGGATGCACAAAATGAGAATTGCAGAGTGCGATTAGTGAACAACGGACATAGACTAGCAGAACTCAAAAGGAGGTGGCAGCAGGCAGTTCTAAGAGAAGAGGCCTGTATTTAAGGAAATTCAACCAAAAAACAGGTACTAAAATCGTTAGGTCTCACAGAAAAACCACTAAAAATAATATCCTCCACTTATCTTCAAATTTAAAACCAGCGATAAGAAAAGATTTTTGTTACAGAAGAAGGATGAAAACTTTGTCAACGTACGGAAAGGCGCACTGAATAGCAAGTACTATTGTTATTTAAATACGAAAAGAAAGAGATAGTAGGGAAAGGAGTCACTACAAAGATTTTTTTACAAAATACGACTATTTTGCCAGACTGTCAAACAAAACTGGGAAAAATCTTACCTTATATTGAAAGGTGACTTTTAAAAGGGACTCAAATAAAAAACAGGCATTAATTGCTTAAGAATATCCAGATAAATGCAAAGCTTCACTTATCTTTGAAATTGAGCTGCGCGCCTTGACCCTGACCTTCTACGTAGAAGGCTTTACGGTGCCTGCAATATAACCTCCGAGCTCCTTCTTAGTTTGTGCCTCTCGGAGTGGCTTCCCGTTGAAAGAGAGTTCGAAATCAGCTACGAAAGCTAACGCCTATGTCTCTGTTACTAAAACGATATCTGGGCAATGGGCGAACACGATAGTCTGAGGTAGAGGAATCTTATTTAGCAAGGATCTAGCAATCGGAGCAAAAACGTTAGGCACAAAGACTTTTTGTTTCTGAGGGAGGTGGGCTATGTCGTCCAGTGATTGGCTGCCCACGGAACATAAGGTTGGGATGCACCTATCCGGTTCAGCAAAGCATTTTATGGCATCAAAAGATCCTGAGGCGAATAAAGAGAAGTAGGATTTTGGGGAGGAAATGAGTGGTTAGGGAGTTGGTTACTATTTTAAGCTAGTTCATTTTCAGCAGAAAATCCACGGGCCGGATATTCTGACGTATTCATGCCAGAGCGAAATTGAGTGACAGATGAGTTAACTGACCCAGTATGGACACTAGCTGGGGAACGTATTGGTAAAGCGGCCGTGGAAGTAACATGTTGGGGGGGGAGTGGGGGACGAACTGTCTCCATTAAAACAAGAATTCTATCAAAGGGCGGGAATGTCGGCATAGTCGGCCTAACCACCTCGATATGAGGTCTTCGTTTAGTTAGAAACACGATACGTTTTGGGTCTCGGTGTTTATGACAGTGTCAGGCGATGTGGAAGAAATGATTTCATAATGGAGCTGGATTTGCCAGGTGTCCGAGTAGCTGAGACGGCATTTGGATCTGCTATTGACTTAGGAACATGCTTAGGCTTGCTAGAGGTTGTTGTGGGAGTCGGTCGGGACGTTTTTATACCAGACGTTTTGAAGCGCTTAAAAATCTTAGCATAAATATTAGTCGATTTCCCTACGGAATTGACTATTTCGTGACGTGTAGAGGCCGAAGATGATGATGAAGAAGACTTATCCAAACTGACAATAGGTGTTATTATGCGGGTGTTGGCGTTTGGAAATTTCACTTTGTCCAGTTTTCGCTGCATTGGTGTGAGTTCCGGCGAAACTAAGCAACGCCATTTACGGCAGAATTCTCTGGTTATCTCCCTCCTTGACAAGATAAAATCGACTTCTATCAAGGAGAAACGGGTAACTAGTATCAGTGCATTATGACTGAGCGAGCGCAGTCGTTTAGCTTGTGCGACACTGAAACGCAAGCCACAATTTTGCAGGACCAAATGCGCTTCCTCTATAGCAGATAAGTGCCTCAGAATGTTTTGAAGCACAAAATTATGCCTGCGTTATATTCCCTCCTCAGCTTCAGAGCTTATTACTCCAAGAACTTTAAACACTTGCTCAATGAGTTTTCGGAAGGGCTGCTTATGTCGCCATACATCAACTGATCGAGTATTTCGTCGGTTGATGTTCTGTTACGACTAGCGAAGGCCTAGTTTTCGACGAATAGAGAGTCAGAAGATTCTACTTGGACTAGAAGGATTCTTGAGTTAACCATATCTACGTAAGGCAACGAACACATACTGGCATCCGCTGCGACTCCGGCCACAATTCTAGCATTCAGAGACGCTGGGGAGACAGCAAGCTGTCGTCTTTTAGCACGTGTTCTTCGGGGCATTACAGGGTACTAGATAGGTATTCCGTTGCTAATGTACAACATGACGCACAGAATATCAAGTGCTACTGTTCGTTTACTACAAAAACTAGAAAGAGACAATCCGACAAGGAGTCACTAAGGGGCATTTCAAGCAATACGGCTAATCTACTAGACGGTCTCACAAGAGTAGAAAAAAATTATACTTGTCAGTGAAAAGCGAATTTTAAAAGGACTCAAACAAAAAATAGGCATTAATCGCTTAAGAATATCAAAGTTTAGGCCAAGCTTCACTTATCTTTAAAACTGAATGAATTAAAAAACACTTGAGATAATCATCAACAATAAATGATTGGGGATGTCTAACTGCCGGCGAGATATCATTCATGTAAAGCAGGAACAAAAGAGGACGCAAAACGGTACCAGGCTCCAACAGGAAGATGAAGATCCAAGTAAAACCGTTTGTTTATGATTAGACGGGTATGGCTTAATACAGTCTATAAGGGAACTGCGAAGTCCCAGTGCTCCTAATTTAACCAAGAGTCTTTTATGTGGCACTTTATGAAAGGCTCTACTAAGATCAAAATAAATAGCGACAACAGATAAATGATCAGTACGAAGAGAAAGAAGTAGATTGAGAAACAACATATGACATGTTTCACAAAGACGACCTGGTAAAAAAACAATGTTGGAAGAGGCTAGTAACTTGGTTGGCTATACGAAAGTCGACAATTTGTACGGCGATTATTTTCAAAGATTTTGGCGAGAGAAAGTGTTTTATGAACACCTTGATAGTTGTGAACATCAGGACGACAGCCAGACAGAAATACTGAAATAATAATAGAAGTTTCTCAAAAGTCAGGAAAGAGAGCATTTTGGAGAAAGCCTGAAAAGAGTTCGCTAAGCAGAGGAGGAAAATCTCGTAACTGTTTTATAAGAGAGTTGGGAATACTGTCCGCACCGACCGAATGCGAGTAGATAAGCCAGTATATCATCTTTGGGATAGTTTTAGGGGCAGAATTTATGATGCTGAGAGAGGCACAAGACAACGGATGAATTGAGATGAGTGGAGAGGTGTTTGGCAAAGAATGAATTTAACATTTCTGATTTGTCTGGCTCCTCTGTAATGAAGGTATCGTTGGTACTAAGCAAAGGCGGAATGATTTGGAGGGATTTAGCAGATGATCTTTGTTGAAAGACCTGAGCAACTGATTTAGAAGCATTCTTAGCAGGTTAGAATAAATTTTCAAGTACATTTTAGAACAGGTAAACGGATTTTGCACGGAAATCAGTTCACTGTATTAGAGTATTGAGTCAGATATTATAAATGATCAGAAAGCAGTGAAAATATTGCTTGTGAAAAATACAAAATGAATATGTGTTCGTTAGCTTCTAAAGAAAAAATCTACCGCTCATGAAAGGATAAATATACGGGTCTAATGGACTCTCCTACATCTGTCATTATTTAAGGGTTAAAAACGGAAATCGTTAAGACAGAATTCCTAAAACAGGTGAGGCTGTCCGCCTCGAGGTGGCCAAACAGGAGGACAGGGCGATTTGACAGGCTTCGCTTGGAGTAATTTGATCCAAAATAAGACCGACGAAAAGCATATTTCCCCAATCGATGGGGGGAGGGAGAATGAGGAGTATAAGGAGACATTGGCTAATGAACGGGTAATGGGATAAAAAAGATTAGGTTCTCGGGCGAAGATGGACTTGAAGTAATTAGACAGGAGGTATGATTTAACATCGTCCCGGTTTCAAGTTCCCCTACACAGACCTAAGGGCACTGATTAGCTTTCGAGTACTTTTAGTACTCTAGTTAAGATTTGTGCATATGGGGGAAATATGCTTACGCTTTCTACCTGCCTATTTGTACATAAAAATCGTTAGGATTAGTAACAACATGAAAAAATTACAGCACCACGTGGATGCAGACATCGATTTACATAGGTCCCCGGTTTTATGGTTACACAGTCACATGGTCCACTTGCTGCTGCAGCATATGTCTGTCAATCCGACGTTCAAATGCCTCTACAGAGTGAGACAGTATAATCGCCTCAGGCAGGTTATTCCACGAGTCGACGATAACGTTGGGGAAAAAATAACTTCTCAAATCCGATCTTTATTGGATCACACGTGGTTTGAAGGGATGTCCCCGGAGGTCATTCGTTGGGCGAATTGCAACAAGTCGTTACATTGTTGGGTGCAGTATAAGCCCCGCGCGATACGGAAAATTTGTGTCCAGTCTCCGCGCAACTGTCTATAATTCAGAGAAAGAGATAAAAATTACTTAGGCAGATCTCATATGGGAGCGTACTCTCACCTCATGTTAATTTTGTGGTGCGCCCTGCGTCTTTTTGAGTACATTTTTATCCTGTTGCTTCCAGGGTCTTTAGGCCTGATTTGCATATTCAAGTCGCAGCCTTACAGACGTGCCGAAGACTTTAGGGCAACGTTCTTTATCGAAAGCTGTGAATGTCCGCTTGATGGCGTAAAGTATTGAAGTTGCGGCCTTAGCTACATTATGGCCTGGCGTTAAAGGCTTTGGGGTGTCTACAGTCCACATTCTGATATCATTCGGAGTTTCTGCTTTTCAGATTTGCACCAGCTTCTCATTAAGAAGTTGGAAATCCTGGATATGGGAGGCCACCTTATTAAATGGATTGATAATTTCGTCGTTGGCCATGCCCAAATTATCTGTTTGGAGCAAAAGTAATTAAGGCGCACAGGCATGGAGAGTGGAATCCCACAAAGCTCAGTGCTCGCATCGACCCTCTTTATCTTTTATAACTTTGATTGTGTACAGGAGCAGGCATGTGTTCGTGACATGTTCGCAGTTGAGATTAAAATCTTGAAAGTCATCCACAACGCTGTCGATAAAAGCAACATACGAGAAGATCTTCGTAGATTGAACAAATCGTCCCGAAAACGGCTCATATCCTTCCAGGTTACCTGCCCGTCATTCCCTCCCCCAAGTCCTACCCCTTTTTATCCACGTCAGAATTTTTTGATGCCACAAAATGTTTTGCAGAACCGGATGGTTGTATCCGGAACGTTTGTTCCGTGGGCAACCCAGAACTGGACGATGTAGCCCACCTCCCTCAGAAACTAACAGCCTTTCCCTTTAAACTTTTTGTTTTAAATGCCAGATCCTTGCTTAATAAGATGCCTTTGCTTCAGACGCTGCTGTTCGTCCATTGTCCTGATATTGTTTTAGTAAATGAGACGTGGGCATCAGCCTCAGTAGCTGACTCCGAACTCTCTCTTCTAGGCCACAATTGCATTCGAAATGATCGCCAAGATAGCCGTGGTGGGGGCAGCTGCGTCAACGTTAAGCAAACACTTACATTTTTGCCGTTCGACCTCCCGCATTTTTCGGCAGTAGAAGGCAGCTGCTGGCTCCAGGTTGCCCTAAAAAAGAAGTTCTCCTTACTCGTTGGCTGCGTCAATCGCCCTCCCAACGCCAATGACAATTTTGATCGTTTACTCTCACAGGCATTTCATGCTGCGGCCGACATAAGCTTTAAGTTTCAATTGATTGCGGGTGACTCTAATCTCCCTGAAGTCCGCTGGTCTCCGCCTTCAGGCCCCAGAAGGTTCGATGACTTTCTTGAGGCTGTGGATGTTGGGATGTGGAATCAGGTTGTCGACTTTCCCACCCGAGGCTCAAGTATACTTGACCTAATTTTCTGTAGGGGCTGCTTGCCATCGTCAGTGTCATCCCTAGGCCCACTTGGGGGCTCAGACCATGACATAGTTGTTTCAACGTTGGAATTCGAGGCTGACGAAATGTCGTCCCAAAAGTATAGCATTTTCCGCGATTTCCGATCAACTCGCTCAACCGAATTATTAACACACCTTACTAACTACGACTGGACTGAGTTCTTCCTTAGTTCGGATGTGAATGTTTGCACTGCAAAACTGTACGAAATTTTGGATCCGCTTATTTCTCGTTTTGTCCCCCGTAAGAAAATTATTAATGTTGGGGAGGAGGCTTTCCTACCCCTTACCCTTTCGTCGCAGATTGCGCAGACTTTATCGTCGTTTTCATCTGCAGAACGATGTTTTAGTTCTGCCCTTGATTTTTCATATTTTTGATCGAGTTAAGAGATTGTCTGAAGAAAAACAGCTAGCCGAAGAGGTACAGTTTACCGAAAACCATTCCTGAAATGTCTCGAAACTTTTCTCTAGAAAAATACGAACTCAGAGAAAGACGCAGCATCCAATCCTCCGAGACGCTCTCGGAAATCGCATAGTTGATGCCCAGTTAACCGCGGATAGCTTCAATGATTTCCTGCCCAAAACGTTTATTGAAGACTCGACCACTCCGCTTCCGACCATCCAGTCATTGATCGGGGCAGTTCTAGAAACTATAACTTTCACTCTGTGGGATGTGACTGTTGCGATTCGGCGTTTTCGTCAATCTTATAGTCCAGGCCCTGATGGTGTCCCAGTAAGCATTTTAAAAGCCGATGCAAACACGATCTTCCCATCCCTCTTATGCAAGATATTTAATCTCGCTCTTGAAAGTGAAACATATCCTACCTTGTGGAAGGAATCACACATTCCCATTCCTAAGCACGGCAAATCTACATCATTTGATGACTTTCGGCCAATAAACACCCTCCCCGCAGTTTCGAAGACCTTAGAGACATTGATCAAAGAGAAGATGATGTGTCACTTGACAGCGAATAAATTACTGAATGTTGCTCTGCATGGATTCCTGAAAGCTCGATCTTGTGACACCTGTCAACTCTCTTTCTTTGACTATGTTCTCCAATCTAGGGACCATGGTTTTGCTCTTTACACAGTATATTTCGATTTCACTAAGGCTTTTGACCGTGTTGACCATGCTCTTCTTCTCTTGAAACTGTCCTCTTTCGGAATAGGTGGCAAACTTTTGAATTTTATAACCTCTTACCTGGGCACTCGTACACAACGAGTTAAGACCTCCAATACTATCTCCAACCCCACACGTGTGAGGAGTGGAGTCATTCAGGGTAGTTTACTCGGCCCGCTCTTATTTTGCCTTGTCGTTAATGATATACCCGATTTATTTCAGAATGGTAGGCCTTTCATGTATACCGATGATCTTAAAGTTGCATATCGATATAAGCCGGCAGATCATGACATCGTGCTCGAGCTCCTAAAGACCGATCTACAGGCTTTCGCCCAGTGGTGCCGCACATGGCGCCTTTCTCTTTCTTGGCATAAGTGCTCAGTCATGGTGGTTGGCGACGACCGCCAACCTCAACTAAGTATTGAAGGTCACGTCATAAAGGTGCCAGGGTTATCAAGGATCTGGGCATATCATACTCCAAGAGTCTCAATCTCTCGGAGCAATGTGCCTTGATAGTCTCCGAAGCACGCAGAACGACCGGGTTTATCCTCCGAAACTTTAAAACTAGGGACATTAGAATGCGCCTTTTCAACATGTACGTTAGACCTGGTCTGGAATACTGTTCGTTTTTATTTAGCCTCATGCGTGCTACTGAGCGGAAGAAAATAGAATCCGTTCAAAACATTTTTACCAAGAGAATTTTAACCCCGGAACACCGACATTTGTCTTACCAAGAACGTTGCCGGCTTACGGGCCTTGATCCTTTATGGTTCCGTAGATTACAAGAGGGACTATTTTTGCTATTTAAACTCTTATATAATCAAACATTTGACCCACTCACCTCTTTAAGACATCATATCCACCCACGACGTAACAGTCACCGTGAGGTCTTTTTATTTCTGCCTCTGGCACGTACTGTTTAATATCGTCGGTTCTATTCTGTAAATGCTATTGCTATTCGGAATAAACTACCAATGAGTGTGAAAACTCTGCAAAATTATCCTTTATTTAAGAGAACTATTACTCGATTTTTGCATTCAGAAAGGCTTCCTCAAATTTTGGGTTCTGAATCCACTGATTGACTCTACCGTAGCGATGGCGTTTGTGGTCTCTGAACACTATGGACGGTCTCACCAGCTGTTCCTCAACGCCTCTACTTTGGCTATCTCCAACTTCATGAAAGGAATTGACGTCCGATAATCTCCGATACCGTGCACCTCCCCCCCCCCCTTCTTGACGGTCGAAAATCTACCACCAGCAGTTTTTTTTCTCCTGAACCCTCCAAACTATGAATACCACCATCAATTATATTTTTATTTCTTTACCTCAGGAGATTTTTCACTGCTGGTCGGATTTGTGTTTAATCGCTTCCCTTGACAATGCCTGTAAACTGGCATTAAATAAATAATTTAATTTGAACAGATGCACCATTCTGCGTCTCGAGAATCGAAACCGGATCCAAATATTCAGCAAGATTATCTACTGGCTGGCCAGATTTTCGTTTAATGCTTCCCTGACAATGCCTGTAAAATGGCATTAAATACAATTATTATTATTATTATTATTATTATTATTATTAAACGAAACGCACACCCGAAAAGCAGGAACTCAGAATGGTATCAAAATCTGGATTGCAGACACCCCAAAGCCTTTAACGCCAAAGCAGGCACGTCGACTGAACCACTTTCAGCTTAGCTGTCTCCGTCACATCCTGAAGCTGAACCGGCAGGATCGAATCCCCGACACTGATGTGCTGAAACGGACGGGACTCCTCAGCATCTACACCATGCTGAGACAAATGCAGCTGCTTTGGAGCGGCCACCTGGTGCGCATGGACGACGAGCGACTACCCAAACGACTCTTCTACGAAGACGTCGCCACGGACTCTCGCCGCCAAGCGGGCCAAATTCGTCGATACAAGGATGCCCTGAAGTCCTCCCTGAAGCATCTGAAAATTAACCCGATTAACTGGGAAGAGCTCGCCCTTGACCGACCGAACTGGAGGAGGAAAGTGAAGACAGGCGCTGCGATCTATGGGGCCAACCGAATCGCCGCTGCCAAAATGAAACGCGACGCACGCAAATCACAGCCACGCCCCGTCCGCAACGCCGACGCACAACCACTTCCAACGTGTCATCGGTGCCAACGGACATTCCGGACACGAATTGGACTCATTGGACACCTTCGGACCAAATGCACCTCCCATACCGCACCATCCGCCACCCTTCCGCCCGCCTTTGCCTCGTCCTCTCCGCTGCCAAATAACTGACAATTCTTCTGAACCGCCACTTCCGTCCTCCTCCTCCTCCTCCTCCTTTCCCCATCCTCCACCTCCTCCTCCCCTCCTCCTCCCCCTCCTCCTCCTCCTCCTCCTCCTCCTCCTCCTCTTCCCCCGCCTCTTCCTCCGCCTGCCCCACTGCACCAACCACGGCCGCTCTGGTGGCCGTCACTCACACCAGCATCACACACATCCATGAAACAACAACAGACACCATTTCTCCAACCTCCGACTCCAGGGGTGAGGACCAGGACTACACCTGCCCTCACTGCGACCGCACCTTCCCCTCACATATCGGCCTTGTCAGTCATTTGCGAATCCATCGCACAGAGACTGGCGAACCAGTGCCAGGAACACCAACCTACACCCATCGCACTCTCCTCCACTGCCCACATTGCCCTCGCACCTTCACGCATCGCATGGGCCTACTCGGCCACATACGCATCCACGAGAGCGGAATTGATCGCCCTCCCGACTCACCCACCACGCCGAACCCCATCCCCACTTCATCACCCATCATCACTTCATCACCCATAACCGTCATCGCAACTGACACCGACACCACCGACATCGCCTGCCCACACTGTCCACGCGCATTCACCTCTCGCCTCGGCCTGGTCGGTCACTTGCGAATTCATCGCACGGAGACTGGCGAACCAGTGCTTGGAGCACCAACCTATATCCACCAGGCTCACCTCCACTGCCCACACTGCCCTCGCACTTTCACGCATCGCATGGGCCTACTCGGCCACATGCGCATCTACGACGACCTGCCGTAGACAACCGCTGGCTACACCACACCACAACACCCTCCCTCCCTCCCTGCCTCCTCCTCCTCCTCCTCCTCCTCCTCCTCCTCCACCACCACCACCACCACACATCAGCACTCACACACCGCAAGCACCCAACTGCCATCTCCCACGCAAGTGGGAAGTTTGCATCTCTACTCGGTCCCCATGCGGCTTCGGTTGCACGGGTGTCTTGAGTCTGAGACTATTCCGACACGTCAAGCATCGTTGATATGAAGGTTGCTGATTGATGCCCCCACTCGGTTCACGCAGTTCGTCGCGTTGTGTGTGTGTTGTGTGAAGTGGCGGACTGGTGGGCTGGACGACGGGCTGAAACAGCACCTTCCACGGCCCTCTCACGCAAGTGAGAGACACGCCGTTCAACCCCCGTTGTGTGAAATCCTGGTGTTTGTGTGTATGGGGGGGCCAGGTCATGCTCGTGGCGCGCGCAGTCATGGTCAGTCGATCCTGCCAGCCACCGCGCCCATTTCCCCCTCCAGTCTGCTGACCGGCTCGGACAGCGGCTGGGGTGTGGGAGTGGGAAGGGAGAGTGAGGTCTACGACTCAGCGCATTTTCTCCTCACTATAAACAATCTGACGCGCTTGAAGCTATTACGGTGCGCTAAAAGCCGTGGCTTGGAAGGTTGTCAACTGACGGGATAACTTGGACCTCCTCCTCGGCTGGTGGGGGTCTGAGAGTCAGGCTGCAATGGCTCCTTCTTAATGTGGCCTTTATGGCACTCCCATCACAGTGTGGGATCCGAGCCAGGCGTCGGCGGCATGCCAAGTTGCAGCTTCGGCCGTGCCAGCCTCCAATCTCGGTTGTGTTGGTTGAAATCCTGGTTATTTGTTGTGTGGACCAGGGGGTGTGGTGGAACGCAAAGGTGAGGATCCGTCCGAGCCATCCACCTGCGGCCTCCCTCGTCTCCGGTCTTCTTGACTCTGTCTTGACACCGGGCTCGGGCGAGGGTGGAGGAGAGAGTGTAGGTAGATGCAGAGCAAGTCTACCGGCACTATAAACCTCTGCGCAAGTCACCATCCCCGCTCCCACCGTTGCTGCAGCTGTGGGGCACACGGTGGACATTATCGAAATCGATGGTCGAACTGTCAATTGCTTGTGTAAGCACACCTTTGATACTGCTGCCATAACTAGCGGTTAAGCCTGAAATACTCGATGCAAGTATAATCCTTTTTAGAGATAGAGAGAGAAAGCGAGAGAAAAGGATCAAGGAGTTTTTTTTCACCCCTCAATCATCATGTTTCTCAATGGACTTCTAATTCAGAAACTATGAATTGCATTTTGTAAAGATTCGGCCTACCTCGTCTAAAACTCGCATGCAAATTTATTTTAACTTGCTTTGATGGGACCCCGACGGGTCTTTAATAAAAATTATCCATCTATCTATCTTTTTCACCTGTAAAGATGCATCTAATCCATAATTCGCTCGATTTGAGAGAGCTATATCATCACGTATGATTAGTTTTTTTAGTGTCGGCTGTGCTCTCCACCTCTTCTTCTATCTCTGTCCCTTCCTCTGAAGTAAACGGCTTGCACTCATTCGGATTGTTAGCCCAAATCTTCATGCCATCTATTCTCTTCTCATGTTCTATAAAAATCCTAAAATAGCGGTGCTAGATAAATCCGACCCCTCTAAATAAATGGATATACAAATGAATTTAAATATACGGGTAGCATCACATTTCCTGTACCCTCCTCGTCCCTTGCAGACATCGTTAATTAGCTTGGTTTTATTCTGGCGCCTAAGAAAAGTGCAAAAGTCTTAGAGGGACAGGATCGTAATGTCCTTTCAGACATGGCGAACTCTACTAACAATCTCTTAAAATTTCCCTAATGGCCTCGCATAGCACGATATGTCTAATGTTTTGTGTTTGATGGGACCCCGATGGATCTCTAATAAAAAAGTGTTATTAATTTGTAAAACACCGACCTCCCTTTATTTACTTTAATTATGTAATACTGCACTTTCCGTCTTTGTATTCCGGTTTATAACTAAGTGCCGAGCTGAAAGCTTGCGGGAATACAAGCGGTGAATTGGATCTGAAGATCGTGGCTGAGAAGAAACCGGCACAGGTCTGAATGACTTTTCGAATTGGCCCAGCTTGACAGATATTTAGAAGTCATACCGAAGGTGGTGTGGTCGAAAAGACTAAGATTTCCAAATCAAAAGTCAGGAAAGACGGAGTGGGTTTGGACAACCTTTACTGCTGGAAGTGCGTACACAAAGCTCTGCAGGCAGTCGTCGCGCGCGCTCCCCAAGCAAGTTGTTTTTGTGTGTGTTCGCCTTCGAGGTGCTGGGACACAGCGCTTGTGTGCGCCCTTTGTTGCCTCCGCGCCCACCAGTCAACCAGAGGGGGGACATTGTTGATTGACCTGGAGCAATCGCGAGGCTAGTGACAAGCCTGGCGCGTCCCAGCAGAGTATCAACAAGGAGTGAGAGGCGGACAGGAAGGCAGCGTGACAAAGGCGAAGGGCAAGGAGACGTGAACTTTCACAGTACCCCCTGCCTAGAATGAAGGCGACGCGATGCGACGCTGAACGATTTGTTAATATCTAAAAACATGAGTAACCAAACGGTCAGGAAAGTTAACATGGCGCCAAATACGGGTGATGCCTACAGAGGATACAAGTGAAGAGTGGGTATGGCTCGCGGTCACAGTTTTTTGTTTGATAAAGGGGATAGTTGCATTTGGAACTCGTGAACATGAAGGCAGAAGAAGTATGCGGGACGGAGGGATAGAGGGATAAGTAGGTGGATCAGGGGGTAGAGAACTACAGGGCTCATCTGGACGAGTGTCCGGGACGGCAGCTTTGAGACGGTACACGCTCACTACCTCAACGTGAGTTCCGCGTTTGATGCGAAAGTTCTTCGTCCCACGAGAAATAACTCGGAAAGGGCCGTCGTAGGGTGGTTCCAGGGGCCGGCAAACTCGATCATATCGGAGATAGATATGAGACCACGTTGCCAAGTCTTTCTCGAGGTAAGACTCGGAGAGAGATGGCCTGGCTGGAACCGGGGAGTGTCCGCCTAAATTGCCGGAGACGGTGCAGGAGATTGGTAGGATCCTCGACTGCAACTCACGGGATTGGCGAGATCATCTGATCGGGAGGTCGGACGGTAGCACCGAACACGAGTTCAGCAGCGGAACAGTCAAGGTCCAACTTGAGAGAGGAGAGAATGCCCAGCAGGACCAGGGGGAGGTGGTCTGTCCAGTTCTCCGGATCGTATGTGGCGCATAAGGAGGCCTTCGGCTGACGAGGAAACCGCTCGATCATCCCACTGGCTGCCGGATGATAGGCTGTAGTGCGGACGCGAGTACAGCCCAAAAAGGAGAGAAGAGACTGGAAGAGGTTGAATTCAAATTGGCCATCGCGATCGGTCGTGATAGTGGAAGGAGCACCGAAAATGACAACCCGACGGCCGAGGAAAGCCTTGACAACCGTTGGAGCAGCGGCATCAGGCAGGGGAATGGCTTCCGGCCACCGGTTGAATCGATCCACGCAGGTAAGCTGATAGGAACAGCCATTGGACAGAGGCAGAGGGCCTACGATGTTTAGGTGAACGTGGCTGGACCGGGCATTCGGAGTAGGAAAGGTGCCAATGGGAACTTTGTTGTGCCGTTGGACCTTATTTCGTTGACAGCCAAAACACCCCGTGTCCATGCTTTCAGGTCCTTGTGCATCCCAGACCAAACGAAGCGGTCGGAAATCAGCTTGTCTGTAGCTCGACTCCCAGGGTGAGAAAGGTTGTGTAGGGAGGAGAAGACTTTGCTGCGGAGGGATAGTGGCACAAAGGGACGATGGACAGTGGTGGAGACGTCGCATAGAATGGTGCCGTGGCCAATAGTCAGTCACAGGTCCTGGAGTTGGAATTCGGAAACGTCCTCGTAACAGGGTGAACCAACACGGCGTCGTTCGGCAGCCATCTCAGCCCGGGAGAAAGTTGGAAATGCGCGATGGAGGGCCTGGACAGTGCATCAGCCACCTCATTGCGTGACTCGTCGATGTGGCAGATGCCTGAGGTAAATTGTGAGATGTAGTCCCGTTGGCAAATTTCCTGGGGGTTGGGCTTATCAGTCGTGGACTTGAGGGCGAGCGAAAGGGGCTTGTAATCTGTGAACACAGTGAAGTCCCTGCCCTCAAGGAAGTGCCGGAAGTGTTTAACGGCAAGAAAGACAGCAAGGAGCTCCTGTGCAACTGTGCTATAGCGCGTCTCGGCAGGTGATAACTTCTTAAAGTAGAAAGTTAAGGGTTGAGTGTGACCTGTAGGGTGTTGTTGAAGAACCGCACCTACTGCAACACTGGAGGCGTCAACCATAAAGGAGATGGGAACATCGGGAGAAACATGCGTCAAAAGGGCGGTGTCGGCTAGGGCTGCCTTCACCTTGTCAATAGCAGCGAGGGCATCTGCAGACAGCTCGAACGAACGTTTGAACCAGACGTTTTTCAAAAAAAAAAACTTTTAGATAGGGAACATCCCAGTATCTCCTACTCAGATAGGTGCCAACTAACTAACCTAAAATTTTTATGGGTTCGAAGACTAGAAGCGGGCTTCTGTCTCCTCTTTCGCATTAATTATAGTTCAAATTTTCCT